ATCAGGCCCAAATCCAATGCCCCTTTTTTCGAACTTGCAGTTATGCATTGCTCCTTACCCCCTTTCAATTGAAGCAACCATGTTTGATTATCCAAAAGTCAGCACGCTTCATTATCTTGGAACCTTCACAAAAATTTCTTGGAAGTGCCTGGCCGGAACAGTGGATCTTAGTCTCATATTCTTTGTCATATTCAAGGACAACAAAATCATGTACAGTTGTTTATTAATTCAGAAATTGCCTGATTTTCTTGCAGCTTGTTGCAACAGCTTGTTTAATTTATACGGATTAGATACACAGGCTGGCAGCCTGCTCTCGTGCATGCATACGATTCCATATTAGTCTATTTCACAACAACGATATCTGAACAAATTTGTCGTATAGAAGGTTCCTCAAGACAAGTGTACGAATTAATTTAGTCCCTTAGCTGTTTCCAATAAGCCAAATACCGTACTAGGAAGGATACCTCATGGTACATTTCCTCAAGATCTGAGATCTAATACGGGATAAGTTGTCTCTTCATGGTTTCCCCATAAAACCAATATCAGAAAACTAGCTTCTATTGCTCATTATCCTCAATATCCATCCCTTGTGTAATTTTCTATATACAAACGAACTCCATTCTTGCTTCGATTCTTAACTTGTTTCAAAATGGCACCCCTAAATTTCAATGCTCTCAGAGACTTGCACAACTCAGCTAATGACCTTCTTCACTCACCAGTGATCCAAAAAGCTCTTGTCCACCACCGACAAGAGAAATGGGTTAATGAAGTCTCAGAAGCATCGCTGAGAATGCTGGAAGTGTGTGGCATATCCAAAGACGTTCTTTTGCTTGTCAAAGAGCATCTTCAAGACCTACAATCTACTTTGCGCAGAGTGATTATTGGCGAGTCAGATATTAGTGCCAAAATTGCAGCTTACAATCGCTATAGAAAGAAGTTGAAGAAACAGACATTGAAGTGCTTGCACTCACTAAAAGGGATGACGAACAAATCAATCACATCAGATATATATTCTGTAGACTCCAAGCTTATGGTAGTTGTGGATGTGTTAAAAGAAGTAAGAGTAATAACAATCTCTATAGTGGAGTCACTCTTATCTCTTATATCTATACCGTGGCTCGTCAGAAAATCGGCTAAAGGGTCTTTCACGTCAAAGTTTATGCCGTCAAGTGGACAAAGTTTATACGATATCTGGGACGAAGAAGAAGTTCAAAGTGCAAACAAAAGAATGGAGGGAGTGGAGATTGCCATTGAAGTTCTTGAGGTTGAGTTGGAGTGCATCTCGAGGCGTTTGATTCAAACTAGGGTTTCACTTCTCAACATACTTACCAACTAAGAGAGGCTATAGAATCCACGGTTGGCAATTGGCAAACCATTATTTAAGAGCTTTGCCATGCCCTAGCTCGCCACTCACACGCAGCACATAATGGATACACTGATCAATATTAATTTCTTTCTGATATAAATCAATCTGTATTACTGTATGTTACACTGATTATTTTAACTTATATATTGCATTGTTTCATTCTTTACATTAAAGTGTTCATTTCTGATCATATCATTAGGTTAATTAACGTGACACCTGAGGTCATGATCATTGTATCAATAAGAATCCTTGTGATTGACTCTTCATACTAGACTGGCTTTATCGATAATTATAAGTTCTGATCGAACTTAATTCATCAACTTGATGTTGTATATGAAAACTGTGAAAATAAATTGCCAATGTTGATATAATTATATGTTATGAGGTAAATCCATAAGCATGGATTCACGCCATGTATTCTAAGGTTGTGCTGTCATTCAGATCACGTGTCACTCCACTCTATGAGAGAGTTGTTTCATTTATAATTCTTTTAAGGATTATTTCATTGATAAGTCTTAAGGTTGTGTTGCCATTCAGGTCACGTGTCATTCTATGTGAAGATTACTTCATGTGCAAGTCCACCCAATGTAATAGTATATAAACCGATCTCTCACTCAATAGGAATCTTTTTGAGACCCTTTTTCCTACTATTCAAAACCGTCCCATATGTCTTAAGAGCTAAGCTCGTTTGTATGTGAAAAATACACAAGAAAAGTAAAAAAATAACAGTGGACTAAGATTACATTTTGTATCCGAACCACTTTAAAAACCTTACATTCTTTGTGTGTGCTTTTTATCTTCACATTAATCCAGCATTAAAATACCAATTTACTACAAACCCTTGTGTAAGTTTCATTACGTACTTCTCCTAAATGTAAAAACTGCATCAACAGTATGCTTAACTGTTGTAAGTTTCATTACGTACTTCTTCTAAATGTAAAAACTGCATCAACAGTATGCTTAACTGTTCTTCATCTAGAAGCTATTTAGTCTTGTAAGAAGAATGATTGCACTCTCCAGTCTGGCTAGAGAAGAAGTGTCTCTCCAAATGCAATTCAAGTTGGACCCGTAATAAAATTCCAAAAGTCAATGCGCATAATTCTGAATTTTGAGCATGCGCATACAGATGTCATATCTATATTTGTTTGTCCTTGGCTTAATTATTTAGACTACACGATTGTATGCTTCTCGTCCAGTCATGGTGCCAAGCCAAATACAACCTTGCAGAGGAGTTGGAGAGATCCCCTGTCGAATCGTGCAAATTTTTCTAAGTAAAATATTAGTATGTCAAGACAAAGTTGTTCCACCGACAAACAAATTGTCTTCTGTTTACGAGCATCTCTTCCACTTGTTAATATAACAATCTAAACTTTGTTTAATTGAGAGATGACATAATTAGACAATCTAAATCTTGTTTAGTTCAGCATTTTGCAATAATCAACTGCACGTGTACAACACACGGATGGGTGATATACAAATTTGTCTCCCAGCAGCTTATTGTTCCAATGCGATTTGTTATCTTAACATAATTTGCAAATCTTTCTTCCTTTCTTGTAAGCAAAACAGCTAATTGTTAAGGGTTTGCAATTGCTTCCTCTTCCAGCGATCGGAGCTCAATGAGAGAAATCAAGGGACCTGGCTTTGAGTGGGAATCAAGAGTGTTGTGGCAGTGGCACCGCTTGGGCATCAAAATTATAAGACTCTGATTGATCTTGAGTTAGAACTAATTATAAGGTTCTGAATGGAAGATTGTTCAGGTAATACAACAGCAATGTCAGCAAAGATGTCCAAAGACAAAGAAACCATATTTTTTTTTTTTTTAAAAAAAGAAAAAAGAAGTTTGTTCATGAAGGATGGTGATATTATTGCATGCACCGTTCAGTTTCTTTTACCAAACTACAAGAGGAAGGTCCACACTGAGGCCTTAGGAAAAGGGAGATTTCGTGTCAATTAGGCTAATGCGTGATTAGGGCTGTCAGACGAGTCGAGTAGCTTGCTAGCCAACTCGACTTGGCTCGTGGTTAGCCAAGTCAACTCAGCTCAAACTCGCTATATAAAACAAGCTGAGTTCGAACATGGGGAGACTCAGCTCATAGGCTCGCGAGTCTGATGTGGCTCGATTAAGCAAGGTTCCATTTGTTATATTTTATAAACAATAGGGACTGAAGTGTTATCTATATTCATTCTTTAGTTTTAAAAATTTGTAAAAAAGACATTTAATCCCCCGATGTAATTTGTTCTAAAAGATTAAAACACAAAATCAAACCTCCAAATCAGATATCCCAAATCGACAAAGCCTAACCCCTAAATTTGTTCTTGCAAATATTCATAATCAAAAATAAAAATAAAATCAACATAATGGTTGTGTTTTGGAAGAAGACGAAGATGAAGATGAAGATGAAGGAGATGGAAGCATCGTAAGTCCATGTAACTCGTGATGCTCTGCAAGAGGAAGATGAGATAGGGACGAAGATGAAGATGAAGATGAAGATGAAGATGAGACGAAGATGAAGACAAAGATGAAGATGAAGATGAAGATGAAG